CGTAGTAGGGATTTGTACTGTTCTTCAATTTGTGCTGTTCTTCATGTTGCCATGGTATTATGGAGGTGGGACCCTGCAGTTCACCAGCAGTGTTCCCCTATCGCTGCAAGAAAGAATTCTGGGTGAGCTTGGTTGATGGTAGTCTCCTTTTTCCCCTTCAGGAATACTACTTTCTTTTTTAGGGCACCTCTATGACTTATGTGTAACCTCTAGTGCAGCTTCAGAGGATATGTTCTTTTATATTAGGCTTGTTCAGTTTCTTGTGTTCACCATTATTTTGGTGAGATTGGAATAGGCTAGTGGACTATTTGCCTAATGTGTTTGGGAAAACCAGCCTTTCCTCCGCAGAATTAAATAATGGAGATTGAGATGTGAGTCCAAAGTTCTGGGAAAGAGGAAAATAAATGTATGAGTGGCTGCCACCCGGGAGGTCACGCCCACCACCAGCTGTATCTGTGGGTACAGTGCCTAGCAGGATTAAAGTCCCACTTCTGATGCAGTTATAAAACTTGCTGGAGATTCCCTCTGGGCTTAGTGTTCAGGGGGCACCTTGGCTGAGATCTTGTAGTTCCCTGGGTCAGTTTTCAGGGTATGCTGCCCCAGAGGTTACTTATATAGTAGTTTTTAATTTAACAAATTAAAGATTGTAGAAGCATGAGTCCAGAAAGTGATATTCTTTTCAAACAGTGTGTCCTTTTGTCTGTGTCCTATTTTGATGATTATCATAAATTTTCAAGCTTTACTATTATTATATTATCATCATCAACATTATGGTCATAATTTTCAGCATTTTTATACATTTTAGAATTCTTTGTTATCGGTCATCTTTGATGTTACAAATTGAGTGAGGTACCATGAAACATGTGCTTAGATCCCAAAATTAATCAATAGGTTGTGTCTGACTACTTAAGTGGTATTTTTTACTCCTCTCCTCTCCAAAACTTTTCCTATTCTTTGACACACAACAATATTGACATTAGGACAATATATAGTGCAGCAATGACCACTAAATATCAATAAAGAAACAGTTTATTATACATGGTTAGGAAGTCATGTCAAAAAATCATAGCTAGCTAGAGTGATTTAAGTTGTGATTTAAATCACAATTTAAACTGATACAGAGCAAAATATTAAAAAAGTGTACATCCTTGTCATGTGTCTGATTCCAGAATGAAGGTTTCCTCAGTATTTCATCCTTGAATATGATGTCAGCTATGAATTTGTGTATTGTCATCATTAGCTTGAAATACATTCCACCTACTATTTTACTGAGTAAATATTTTTGCTGATATTATTATTGGGGAATCAGGCAACTGGTGAATTTAAGTTGAAAGCAATTCTCATTTAATATCAATAGCAGACGCCCTACCCGCTGTGCTATCGCTCCAGCCCAAGGTAAAGGCCCTCCCGTTGATCGTCGATTTGCTCAAGTGGGCCCAGTAACATCTCCATTGGAGACTTTGTTGTTACTGTGTCTGGCATATCGAATACTCTCGGTAGCTTGCCGGGCTCTCCGAGAGGGGCGGAGGAATCGAACTCGGGTCGGCCATGTTGGCTGCGTGTAAGGCGAACGCCCTACCTGCTGTGCTCGGACTCTTAAAATCTTTAATCTAATATACCTATAAACTATAAATGTAAATTATAAGTCCTAGATGATAACATGAATTGCTAGATATTTTAAGCCTGTTAATCAGAGCCTATTTCTTGGGATGAGATATTCCTTTTGTTGCAGATAGATAGTTGATGGGATGAGGCCCTCGTTATTTTAGAGATTATTTTTGGAAATAATACAACATAGGGGAAAAATTACCTAATTACTAGTCCTAAAGCTGTCCCCAAAAAGAAAATCTAGACCCTTGAGACACAAATACTGAGTTCTTTGGAGAGGGAGAAAAATGTGGCACCAATCAAATATTGAACCCGAGGCACCAACCAGCAAAGAAAATTCAAAAGAATCTAAAGGTCAAGTTCAGTTTAAGTATATTAGAAGACCATCAAGAGTTCAAGGCCTAATTTGTATAAAATGCATAAGGCAAGTGCAGTTGTGAAGGTCTCACTCTAAGACAGACTCTTATCAAAGGCATGCAATACACGTTCTCTATTTTGAAAGATGCTCACATCTCAACCAGAGGTGTGTGATTCTTTTTTTTATTATTATTCTGTATGATTTATCTGGAGATTCACCCCATCTCAACCCTCTAAGAAAAGCTATGTTCTCTCTTAACCACACCCTGCTCCAGCCTCTCCTGCAATCCTGGAAAGCTTGAACAAAAGTTATGATTTATAGGATAACATTGATTTGTCCTTTCTCCCTGGCTTCAGGGAGCTTAGGTTTATTGGGTTACACCCAACACAGAGCTCCTGAGATACTCTCATTCCTGTGTTTGGTAGCCATGAGCTGCATTCCCATTCCATCTTTAACCTCTTCTCTGTGTTCTGCTTCCCCAACTGATCAATCACCTTTATCCCCAAATCAAATTCTGTTGACTTGTAAGGTCAGATTCTTCTAAGGACATGTGTTGCCCGCATCTCCCCTCTTGAGATGTGTACTTTCATGCTTTTGTGTCTAGTGCTGGGATGTGTGTAGAGGCTCTCTCCGCCCATGGAGAAGCCCATGTTCTCTCGTGAGTACATTACTCTCTTATTCTCTATCCCTCCATACCTAAAAATCCTCCAAATAAAATTTATTTACTTCACTGCTTGTCTACTCCTGAAATTCCTTTCTGCGAGGCGAGACAAGAACCCAGTAATCCTGGGTCCCAGATGGCAGAGGCAGGTGGGGAGAAAGTGACTGTCTTTCTCCTCCCCACTTCACATGTCACCTGTGGGGCCCACCGACATCACCTCTTTCATATATCTGTTGACGGTGGCTGCAGGTCAGGGTGTGGAAGCAGCTCATGGCCACCAAATGGATGTGGTGGGAGAGTGACCATGCCACTGCCACCGCCAATCACTTACTTATTTTGTGAATGCACAATCATTGACTTCCATTTTCCTGCAAAGAGCAATTCTTCTCTCTAGCCTTGGTTCACAATTCCCTGAAACTTCAGGAGGTGGGTGCCATTCCCATGTTGTGTAAATCAAGTGGACTTCAGACACAGCTTAACAGTTTCCTTATAAAAATGCTAACGTCACAATATAAAGGTGCCTTTAGTAGACATTCCCAGCTGGAAACCTGGTAGGCATTTCCCTGGGTGGTTTGCATTGATAAGCATTCTTTTCTCAAGGTAATGGCCTCACTTCCCACTTCATCCCAATCAGTTCCTTGGATCAACTGAGATACCTACTTCTTTGGGTTGAAACCATTTCTCCCAACTGCAGCACTTTCAAAATATGATCACTCATTGAAAATGCATTTCTTACCCTAGAATTCTGATAAAAATTATAGCCCAAACAATGCTTTTACTTACTATCTAAAAATAGCCATTTTATAGCCAATAGGTCAAGAAATCATTTTGACTTTGAAGCTATATCAACTTACTTCAAAAGGCTATAGGGGCCAAGAGAGATTCCTTAAATGGATGCAACCAAAGACTATTTAAAAATTTTCACCATTCTAGTTGTGTTACTTGTGAATTACTTTCCTTCTTCCCCAGAGGGCTGGACTGAACTCGTAGTTAGTACTAGTCTCAAAGGTATGATTGTGGGGTGCAGTGTTCTCTTTTTGCTTTAATAAGGTAGATTTCTAGGGAGGTGGTTCAGAGTTTTGTTTGTTTGCTTTTCTGAAAAGGTTCTGAATCAAACAAATTCAGAAATCTCTTTTTTAAAATATTCAAGATATGAATGGAGAACCCTCGAATGTGGTGGAAATATCAAGTGAAACAAAATGAGAAACAGAGTGAAGATATGACTGAATTACTATAATCTCATAATAAAGCTTGACTGAATAAGGAAAAAAAAGATTCTAATGTCAGAATATACTCCTGGTAATGATGCTGTGAGGATTATTAAAAAGACTTTAAAGGGTGTAGATGATTATATAAATTTATGTATCAAAGAGCAGTATACAGAGTTTGAGAAAACTGACATCTATTTTTGATGACATTCTAAGTAAAATGCTATCAAACAAAATTACATGCTACATGGAAATTTTTCATTAAGTAATCAAACTTTATTGTTATTTATTTATTTATATTTTTTGCTTTTTGGGTCACACCTGGCAATGCAAAGGGGTTACTCCTGGCGTTACACTCAGGAATCACTCCTGGCAGTGCTCAGGGGACCATATGGAATACTGGGAATGGAATCCAGGTAAGCTGCATGCAAGGCAAACCCCCTACCTGCTGTGCTATCTCTCCAGCCCCTTTTGTTATTTATTTATAGGGAATGTCACAGCCACTTCATAATCCACCACTCTAATAAGCCTGTTGCTATTAACATCAAAGTAAGACTCTTCTCCAGAAAATAAAAGTCTTACTAAAGAAGTCAGATAATAGCTACACTCATTTCAGCTATAGGATGTTTTAAAATTAAAATTTAAAAAAATTTTAAAATTAAGTTATGATGAACAGCTTTGTAACTATGTATTTCATGGTAATGCAATACAAATAATTTTTTAAAAAATTGAAAATAAGATTAAGTTATTTTGCAGTATTACATAACTTTTATATATACTTGAAAACTGAAAAATTGTGTGATTTGTTGTATTTAGATAGTTACTTTATTGTGGCCGCATAGAACTGACCCTGAAATACCTCTATGTGTTCTTATTTCAAGAGAATAATCAGAAAGCAAGTAGACTGGCCATAAAAATGCATCTTCTCAAAGTGAATACCGATAGTTGGCCAATATTTAGTGTTGTGCACTTAATACCTTAATCTATTTTTCATTAAAAAGTTCTGTACTGGGATCTTTTTTAAGAAAAAATGAAACAACCCAGATTTTGCATTTCATGCCAACAGAAATGGTATTTTCTTCCCAAATCAAAATAAAGGAAATATGATCAGAGCATGGGGGAGAAATCTGTAGTTGAACACAGGCCTATTTTTAAAAGAAAAGTATTTTTAAATGGATTTCCTTCCTGAAAAAAATCAGTGTATTCAAATTATAAAGTGCTGTTGTTAAAACTTGAATAAACACTTTGCTTTGAGATGCACAGTTTTCAAGTTATATTACATTAATTTAATTAAATTTGTAAAGTTCTCAGTCCTTTATTATAATTTTTCTTTCTCATATAAGTTTAATTTTTCACATTTGATTTTCCTTCCTAGTTTTTCTAATACTAATGTATTTCTTGGGCTGGAGTGATAGCACAGCGGGTAGGGCGTTCGCCTTACAAGCGGCCAACATGGCCGCCCCGAGTTCGATTCCTCCGCCCCTCTCGGAGAGCCCGGCAAGCTACCGAGAGTATTCGATATGCCAGACACAGTAACAACAAAGTCTCCAATGGAGACGTTACTGGGCCCGCTCGAGCAAATCGACGATCAACGGGAGGGCCTTTACCTTTACCTTTACCTAATGTATTTCTTATAATTCAGTAAGATAAAATAATGCTTTTGAAAGAATGTTTAATAGAAAATTAAAATAGTTCTTCCTTAAAAAAATGCATCTTCTCTCAATGTTTAAGTTCTTGCACAACCTGTCAATTTCCCAGATTGATTATAGCTAAATTCTCTGAGAAAGGTCTAGTAGCCATAAATAAGATATAATTTTTTGAATTCATAGTTGATCTGATGAGAAACTAAGATATTACAAGTAGCAAAGTGTAGACTTGATTATCTAAAGTTATTAACTAAAAATAGTTTATATATTTTGGGGAATTAGGATATAAATTTCTCTTTCTTTCACATGGTAAATTATAGATTCAGATTTCAGAACATTTCAGATGATTATTCAATAAATGGTATTGCATGGTATTAATTTAATTTAACTGGAATTAAAAACTATTAGGAAATAGTAATGTTAAAGAGAAAATGTCATTTACGACCTACCTACTATTGCCTCTATTTCTCTCTAAAAGTATCTGAAGATAATAACTGAAACTTTAAGAAATACATTGTCTCTTGTGGCACTGATATCTTTGAAGATTTATTTACTGAGATGATCTCTGTAGGCCAGAAAAGCTCATTGAAGATTTTACTGTTGAAATAGGTTTTCTGACTTTAATCAGATTGTGATGTGGCTTAGTAAGCACTTAATCATCAGAGAAAGCATAAATGTTAGTGCCATAACAGATGAATGAGACCAGAAACATAATCAGAATGGATGACCTGAAAATGTCTTATTTTATTTCTATAACCAAAAAATTAATAACTGGGAGAGTGGCATAACTTGAGTCATCAAAATGAAAAGTTTTGATCATCTCAACTAATTTAGAATAGTTTTAGTTGATTATATGAATAATGTAGAGAGTATATGCCCTGCAAAGAACAATTTTTATTCTTTTACTACTTTCTTAAGATAAATCTCAGCAGTTTAATAAAGCTCCATGGTTTTCTGATAATTCTAATGCAAACAAAACTGGGTATAGAAATCAAGACATACCCCAATTAGAATTTGGCACCTATTATCTGTAAATATACATAGTAGGCATGCCTCTAATTTGAAAGAATACCATTGTAAAAGACATTCCAAGAAAGTGTGTGAATTAAAATCTATTGTCATAGAAAGGTCTAACTCCTGGAAAGGCATTGGAACATTTTTTTCTCAAGGGTAAAATCTTAGATTATATTAGAAACATATTAGAAAAACAAAGGAATATTTATTTCTCTACTGGATGCTGGCCGACTTTGACCGTGAGTGTGGAAAGGTAGGACTAGAGCTGAATCTTACGAAGACAATGTTTATGAGAAACAGCCTTGTTCCTGATGCTCCATTCACTCTCAATGGAATGACCATCTCCGAATGCAACAGCTATGTGTACTTAGGTCGAAAAGTCAACATGACAAATGACCTGGCACCCGAGCTGCGCAGGAGGAAGAGAGCAGCTTGGAATGCCTTCAAGAGCGCCAAAGAAATAGCTAAGAGGACGAAGAACCTCCGGCTCGGGCACATCTCTTTGATTCGACTGTTCCTCCTGCATTAACATATGCCTCAGAGACCTGGGCCCTACGCAAACAAGATGAGAACGCTATTCAGGTCTCCCAAAGAAGAATAGAAAGAGCTATGCTTGGAATATCACGTTTCACTCAAATGAAAGAAAGAATCCAGAGTTCCGACATCCATTGATGATCAAGAATCAGGGACGCTGTCTCGTTTGCCAAGGTGTCAAAAATCAGATGGGCTGGTCACGTAATGAGATTTAAAGACGACCGCTGAACTAGAGCTGTTACCGACTGGATTCCATGGGATGTCAAAAGACCGCGTGGCCGCCCACCTACCAGATGGTCAGACTTCTTCATCAAGATCATGAACGATCAGTTTGAGGCTCTTCATGTTCCTAGAGCGAACAGATGCCATTGGGCTACACTAGCACGCGACAGGGACAAATGGAGACGTTACTGGCGCCTGCTAGAGCAAATCAACGATTAATGGGAAGTTAAGTGATAAGTAACTATTATGCATTTTATCATAATAAAAATACAGATGGATGTTAGTTTCTTTGCAAACACTCTTCTCTAAGTGGAATCTTTAATAAATTAACTGCATATTTTGGCATCTTTTATGTAGATTTATATTTGTAGTTTTTATTGTATTTCATTGTATTTCATGGTCATGAGATGATAATGATAGAAATAAGGAGAAAATGCTATCTTATATGGAACAAGAGCTTCATATTATCTACCTTATATCCTAAGGTATATTCCTTATCTGTCTCTGAACTACAATTAAATTTTCCAGGTAATTGACCATCTATTTTCAACATTAAATGTGCGCCTGTTTGGTTAAGGAAGAAGAAATATATAACTCTACACCTTGATGACTTATATGTATACAAATGTATGTGAAATATGGCTTGGAGGCCAATCGCACATGCTGGGGGAAAAGGCAGCTCAGATAGAGAAGAGAACGCCAAGCAAAGGCTGTTGGGAGGATCCACCCAGGATGGGAGATGCATGCTGAAAGTAGACTATAGACTGAACATGATTGCCACTCAATACCTCTATTGTAAACCACAAAACTCAGAGAGAGAAAGCAAAAAGGAATGTCCTGGCACAGAGGCAGGGTGGATGGAGGGATGGGGAGAGTGGGAGGGATACTAGGATCATTAGTGATGGAGAATGGGCACTGGTGGACGGAGAGGTACTCGATCATTGCATAACTGAAACCCAAACATAGAAATGTGTAAGTCTACAACTCTACATCATGATATTTCACTAATAAAATTTTTTTAAAAAGTATGTGAAATAAATTCCATATATATTTAGGATTTGGTCTATTTGGCATAGATCACGGATAGCTTGCCAGGCTCTGCCGTGTGGGTTGGATATTTAAGGATATTTAAGGTATCCTGAAAATTATTAAATAAATAGTCGCGCGGCCGCGAATGCGGCCGAGCGCTCCCGGGAGCTTGTTGTGATAATCTTTGGATCCTGGCCTTTGTTGGGGTTACACGGCAGTTAGAGGGTGTAACTGTCTAGCTACTGACAGGTCCAGTCCCAAACCGTGCAGGCTTAGAGATCTCAGTCCCGGGTCCCACACACCTGGGTTCCTCTGCCAGTTCGGTTATGTCTGAGGCTTATCCAAGTGTGTGGAGAGTGGCTCCAGTAAGGCCTTGGTTGGGGCCTGGAAGTCTTCAGCTGTTGGGCCCTGGCGAGGATAGTCAGACACAGGGTAGGAGACTCTGCCTTGTGCTCTCCCGGGAGCTTGTTGTGATAGGATTAGCAGAACACTAGATGAAGGACAACCATGTGAACAAGCTGGATTCCGAAAAGGATTCAGTACCATTGACCATATCCACACAATAACCAAGCTCATTGAGGTATCTCGGGAGTTCAAGATGCCGCTCTGTCTAACGTTCATTGATTTAAAGAAGGCCTTTGATTCTGTTGAGACGGAAGCGATCATGGAAGCCCTAGCCAATCAGGGCGTACAAACTCAATACATCAGGATCCTTCGTGAGCTCTATTGCGGATTCACTACCAAGATCTCACCATTCTACAAAGAAGTAATCATCCATATCAAGAGAGGGGTTCGGCAGGGTGATACCATTTCACCAAAACTCTTCAGTGCCACCCTCGAGAACATCATGCGACGACTAGAATGGGAAAACATGGGAGTGAAGATAGATGGTCGGCAACTACACCATCTCCGCTTTGCTGATGACATCGTTCTAATAACACCAAACATCAGCCAAGCGGCACAAATGCTTGCGGACTTTGACCGTGAGTGTGGAAAGGTCGGACTACAGCTGAATCTTACGAAGACAATGTTTATGAGAAACAGCCTTGTTCCTGACGCTCCATTCGCTCTCAACGGAACCACCATCTCCGAATGCAACAGTTATATATACTTAGGTCGAGAAATCAACATGATGAATGACCTGGCACCTGAGTTACGCAGGAGGAAGAGAGCGGCTTGGAATGCCTTCAAGAGCATTGAAGAAATAACTAAAAGGACAAAGAACCTCCAACTACGAGCACATCTCTTTGATTCCACTATTCTTCCTGCATTAACATATGCCTCAGAGACCTGGACCCTACGAAAACAGGATGAGAACACTATTCGGGTCTCTCAAAGAGGAATCGAAAGAACTATGCTTGGAATATCACGATTCACTCAAATGAGAGATAGAATCAGGAGTTCTGATCTTCGTCAACGCTCAAGAATCAGAGACGCTGTCTCATTTGCCAAGACATCAAAAATCAGATGGGCTGGACATGTAATGAGGTTTACAGACAACCGCTGGACTAGAGCCATTACTGATTGGATTCCACGAGACATCAAAAGATCACGTGGACGCCCACCTATAAGATGGTCAGACTTCTTCGTCAAGACCCTAAATGATCGGTTTGAGGCTCTACATGTTCCTAAAACGAACAGATACCATTGGGCTACGCTAGCACGCAACCAGGATGAATGGAGACGTTACTGGCACCCGCTCGAATAAATCGATGAATAACGGGGATTAAGTGATTAAGTGATTAAGTGATATATTTAAGATATTCTGATTTTAACAATAATTATTCATTCTAATTTTGTGCACCTGACCTTAGATATGCTGAGAATTTTTTTCAAATTCTGATTAATAGGACATGTATTATACTTTCTGCCATTAAAACTATGTATAATAATTCATGAAGTTTTCATAGTCATCTCTCCTATTCTTATTTTTCTACTGAGGATATAGAATTTTCTGATTTCACATAAATCCAGGGCAGAAAATAAAAAAAAACCATATTCCCAGTTTTTCCAGACTACATGTTTCATACTAGAATTCTGTCACATGGATATTTTGGAAATATAGTATGTGACATGCCAAAATTATAATCTTGCTATGAAAATTTTATAGTTTTTCCTCTTTCGAAAATAGATATACTTTCTTAGAGGGGCTTCAGTGATTGCACAGTACCTAGGGTACTTGTTTTTTATGTAGTCAACCTGGTTTCAATCCCTGGCATCCCATGAGGTCAAACAAACACCACCAGAAGTGATTTCTAAACAC